GCTGTAACTTGAGTAAAAATTGAGATATCATGATGAAACTTGGTACACGTATTTCTTGGCTCTATAGGAAGGTTAAGTTCGAAGGTGGGCAAAAACGGCCCACTGCCACGCCCACAAAATGGCCCAAAACCTATAAAGTGTCATAACTAAGCCATAAATAAAGATATTAAAATGAAATTTGGCACAAAGGATCGCATTAGGGAGGAGCATATTTGGACGTAATTTTTCTGGAAAAGTGGGTGTGGCCCCGCCCCCTACTAACTTTTTTGTACATATATCGAAAACTACTATAGCTATGTCAACCAAACTGTATAGAGTCGTTTCCTTTAGGCATTTCCACAATTCAAAAATGGAAGAAATCGGATTATAACCAAGCCCACCTCCCATACAAAGGTTATGTTAAAAATCACTAAAAGTGCGTTAACCGAGTAACAAAAAACGTCAGAAACACTAAATTTTACGAAAGAAATGTCAGAAGGAAGCTGCATCCAGGCTTTTTTTTTTTTTTAAATTGAAAATGTTCGTGGCGTCGCCCACTTATGGACCAAAAATCATATCTCAGGAAGTACTCGACCGATTTCAATGGAATTCGGTATATAATATTTTCTTTACACCCTGATGACATGTACCAAATATGGTGAAATCGGTTCACAACCACGCCTGATTATCGATTATCACTTTATCATGCGAGAGTATAAAATGTTCGGTGACACCCGGCCCTTAGCCCTTCCTTACTTGTTATTGGTATTGGTGATTTCATAAAGAATTACGTAGGTTGCATTCTATATATTGGAACTTGAAATATCAAGTTCGCGATCTAATTTAATTTTTTCGCCGAGATGAATATTTTAAGTTACTATGTGTTTATAGCCAAACAATTAAATAATTATTTTTTAACACTTCCGATGTGAATTACCTCAGCAACAGCGCTTCGGTGAACTTAGTATGATGCATTCAATCGAAGTCGTAAATCTCGTCAAGGCGGGGACTTTCAAAGAACATTCAAAACCTGTTGTTCTTATGGAAACTATTGACGCTGTGGCTTCTTTTTTCAAGATCGTCACGTGACTTATCGTGAGATTTACACTACTGCCTATAGTAGTATTGTATTAATATACATTCAATATGGCTCGTATTCTCGTAGGATCCCACACAATTTGTCAATCCAAAAAAGGCTCGTGTCGATTGGTCGAGAGAAGTGGTAAAAAATAGGATAACGGTGCCTAGAGACAGGTTAATGATAATGTGGCAGGCTGATAACTCGTGAATTTATACGTATGACCTCGAAAATAAGAAGCAGTCTATTGTATGGGTGTTCAAAATAAGCCTAATCCAAAAAGCTGTTCGCGCACAAAATATTTCCAAGCAACTGTTTGCCTATTTTTAAGAAAAACAGAACATGTCGCAACTTTTCCTCCAGAACAGAACAATATAGAGCAGCAGATTGTGAGTGATACACAACCGTTTGCTTTTTTCAGTTGCCTTTCAAGAAATCACTGAAACCACCGACGACAGATCACACTTCACCGCGATTATGCGAGTTCTCATGCGTCGCCTGAATCAGCCGCTGTTTTGCGCACTTAAAATACTGCCTTGATGAGTAAAGCATCGAACGTCTACTTTTCATTCCCATCCGAATCAGATCAACTAAGAGGTCAATGTGCTGCGACATCTGAAGAGGCGGTTGATGCGTTTAGAATACATGTTTTGCATATACCACGATCAGTGTGGCCACACTGTATCGATAAAATTAAGCAATTCTCAATGATTCTCTTTTGTTCTCAATTCAGAAATATCGAAGGCACACGTACTTAAAGTACTAGATGGACTAAAAATTCTTTGAACAACAATTCGACAATGAATTTTTTTTTTTTTTAGTCAAAGATCGCTTCGTTATTCCACATAATCTCCATATGTTATCATGCTTTTGTTGTAATAGACTTGAAACTGTTAAGTAGGCTTGAGGTTCTAACGACTTTGAATAATTGAAATAATTAAATTTTTAGAAATTTATATAATTTACATTGTTAATTTGCGCAAATTTCAATTTATTGAGGGAATTTACTTAAACGTTTTTTTTTTTACCCCAAATTAAATAGTTCATTCAAATTCCAAATTTTTAAGAATGCAATAAAGCTGATGGTCACATTTTAAACCAGTGCTACCTAGCTGTAACCATCAACTACTTGAGTTGATTTATACATATGTATGTATAAGCATGAACCTGTATTAGTTGAGTGTAGAAAAATTTTTTGGATTGAATTCAATAAAATGCCTACAGCCACTTGAGAGCACATTTATAGATAAATCATATGCTAATACTAATCATATGAAACAAATAAAGTTATATAAATATACACATACATACATTTTTCTGTACCATATGTACAATTCACATTGAGACTCATATATAGATCTTTTTAATTTACATTTATGACCATTTCTTTAAGCTCTGAGGCAGCTTTTTATTTTAACAATATTGACATAAAACCCTTTAGGCTAAAATAATAAACATGAAAATCAATATACCGCCTACCTTTATACATTTACTTCCCGAAATAACTTTTTCATACTCGCATCAGTGAAAAGCGAGGGATGTATTCATATTATGTGGGCAGCGATTAACTTATGGAAATTCGAGGTCGAATTTGTAGTAAAAGAGAGACTGCCACTTTGTAAAATCAGTCCACAGCCATTAGTTACCATTGAAAATAAAATACAAATCTCACTTCATAAATCATATTCAAAGTAAAAATATCAAAAAATGGCAATAAGGTTTCAACAAGCTTAATACCGACGTCAAAATAGTTCAGCGTATTTGCACCTTGGTTTTTCCGAATAAACCTGTACCAGAACTCCAGCTAAGAATGTATTTAAAGCGGTACGATTTAAACGTTGTATAAAGTGGACTAGACCTTGTGTACATTAAAAAAAGTCAAACACTTTAAAATACCATAATTACAACAAATTTTTGATTAAAGACTTACAGACTTTTTTAAAGGGCTGAACAGAAATAATTTACCTTTTAAATTTTTGGTTGACCAATTTTCTTTTATCCATCAACTTGGCGAAGAATGCCGCAACAAATCTCATCAAAGCACTTCACACATTGGTCATCTACTAATCTGCTTTAAAATAAATTTTGCATTCAGGGGATGTAGTCATGGCGGCGTTCTTGCTATTATTCAGTTGCCTTGTGCCGGTATTCGTAGTTGTTATTCACGCAGGCTTACGCAAAATATCTGCAATAATTTTAGAACGCCAATATGGGCTACATGAAGCGTAAACACTTTGCTTATAAATATCTTGGTTTTAAGAATTTGAATGGTCCATTTCACTTTCAGGGAACCCTAGGTGAACGTGAGAGCCACCGTCGGCTGGTGTGAACGACAGATTGGGATTTGTTGTTCTTTATAGGTTGATTCTGTGAAGTGTGGGTATTAATGTGGTGAGGCAAAAATTCTGTTTAAATTAGAAAAACGTTTAAGTTTTGTGAAGAATTTATAAAATTTTGGTTACGAATTTGGTGAACATTGGCTTAAAGTCACACATTTGTTCAACAAATTAAAAATTAAATATTTGCAGTGGCATTTTTTTTTTTTAATATATCTTCAAGACCCGATCTCTTATGGTCTATTGCACTCATAATTTTTAAATATTGGAAATATTGACGATTAAATTTCAAACGTATCTGGATATAGGTTTTTTTTAACATTATGATAATATAAGGAAAGCTCATTGAGGACGAATTTAGAAAAACTAAAGAATTCTACATAATTCAGAAGCCCTACCTGAACTAGCTACTTAAGTTATCGGCTCCCTTTTTTTGGGAAACAGAGCCTCAAAACATAATCCCCAAACACTGCTAAGTTTAAGTAAGCCTTCACATAGCTACCAATACTTTGCAGTATACTTCAATTTGTCTTATTTTAGCCCAGAATAGAAAAGAAGTACAGAGTACAAACCCGTTTTTCAAACTTTTCCAAAAGCAATGATTAAAATAATCATTAAGGGTGAAAAAATTAAGTACATTACGCAGATAAATTCAACCCGCTAAGAAACAAAAAAAACCAAAAAAAAATCTAAAATAAAGTTCAAAGCAAGTGCTACAACTAAAAGAATCCTTGGGAGCGAGCGAATTCACGGACGATGGAGACAAACAAAATCGATGATTGTGTCAACGCGAGCTGGTACACAGCAGGTGCACGTGCATGAACAGCAATGAACGCGACTGGCTGACCGCCACTAGAGCGTGCTTTGTGGCGTCAGGAAATGGCAACAGCTGTTGGATATCCTTGTAGTCAAAGGAGAAGCACTCACAAGCAAGAGGTAAAGAAAAAATGAAAATTCTTTTATTTCGGTTTTAATTTTTGTTTCGACACTTTGCACCAACTTAAGAAAGTACAGCAGGTTGTTAAGCGATGCTTATTGCTTTTTTCTGCTTTGCACGCATAAGTTCTTCTATTTTCTTCACAAACTATTTTGGCTTAACTTTTGTCTTATTTTCTTATACGAAAGCGGTCACGTTTTACCACAAAAATGAGTGTTGGAAATACCAAGGTTCTAAACTTGCAACAAAATAAAGTAATACTGAACTACGCGAAGTAAAATAAGAAATTCCAGAATAACGGTAAGATTGTGGGAGAATCGCTGATAATGCGTGGGTGTATGAATGCTCATAAAGACACTAGCTATGTCTTGCTACAGTATGTGTGCTTAATTTCCTCATTGGCTAAGTTCGGCCGTGATATCTTTTACAC